TTGCCATCGGTTCTCATGTGTGCATGTTGTGAGCAAGTCCAGAGTCGAGTCTGATTGCATGTGCGTATTCAGGCTCTTGCAGCACGCCACTTGGTTGAATGGACGAGCGAGCCTCACTAAGCTGCGTCGTACAGTTGGCCCAGGCCTTGACAGTTGCGCCTGGGCACATACACACAAAGCAGGGCCGGTACATTGAGAAGCAGGCCATCGGCCTATGCAAAAGCAGTACTGTCGACGCACCTACGTGGGAGCTCTGCACAGATGCAGCAAACAGCCCAAGTCCGGAGACTCAGGCCGTGCCCAACTGTAAATGGGACCCAGGCCCTCAACTGTAGTCTCGGGCCTGGGCAGAGGGACTGAGGCCCAACCGGAAGCTACTGGAAGCTTCCAGCCAGGCCACACGTAGGATCCAGGAGGCTGTCACTTCCATATAGGAAGTGAGGCCGCCCAGGCGAGGTATGCTGAGGTATGCTGGCCTGCGTAGGCAATGCGGAAGTGCTCCTGCGCTACTGCTTGATGCTGCACTGCGGCCAAGAGTGCTGACAGGGCGCGTAGAGGTGAAGTGGGGCGCTGCAGGGCAGCGGGGCGCAGGCAGCCATAGCCGGGCTGCCGGGCGCCAGGGGGTAGGATGGTGATCTGGTGGTCTTCAGGGAAGGAGGCGAGGTGTGGGGTATCAAGGTCTGCTGAGGGTGATGAGATACGTACCTGGTACATGAAGAGAGGTCGGCTATGGTGTTGACATCATGTACACTGGTCTTCGAGAGTCGAAGTGAGCCTGTTGCGTGAACACAGCTGTAGGTAGGATAGGCAGGTAGAGTTGGCTGGGCGCTGGGCGCCAGACAGAGAGGAGCGAATTTGGATATTGTGTTGGTGTGGCCTACGGGCTTGGACTTTGGCTCGTTACTTCATTGTATTGCTCTATTTCGATGCATTCTCGGTGCCATTGTGCTCTCCGCTTGTACACGACTACTCAGACATCTGTGTGGTTTCGCAACTTCGTTTTCTGTATATCATTTACGCTCATATTCCTTGCATTTGTATTTTAACAAAAAAAATAATATTTGCCCTGCTCTCTTGAAAATTCGGATTTGCTTATTCTTTGAGTATTGCACTTCTGATTAATCTGTTCTTTTTAGATGCAGTTGGGTTTTCGACTTTTTTTTCGGAACTTATAGAAACGGGGGATATTTCAGGGGAACTTAGAACTTGCTGCATCAGGACTATTATTTTTTGTGTGAGGAACGAGCCCTCAAGAGGCCCTATCAGACATCACATTGTTCTGGGCTAAGGCCCCAGCAAGACAAGTGCCCGCCCTAAGTGAAGGCGGGCCTGAATATTCGTCGAAGGCAGAATTCGACATTTCCATATGGGGTATTCAGGCTCTCGCAGCACGCCAGTTGGTTGGGAAGACGCGTGAGCCTCACAATGCTGCGGCATA